CGGCGTCGTGGTAGAGGTCCGAGGAGGTGAAGAGGGAGTGCAGGCGGTCGAGATGGGTTGCCAGGTGGTCTATGTGGGTGAGGAGGGCGTAGAGGGGCTGCGTGAAGGAGGGCTGCGTGAGCAGGAGGCGGTGGGTTAGCGTGCGGAGGTACAGCGTGTGGGCTGTGGAGAGGGTTTCGGGATCGTGCGGTGGTGGTTTGAGGTGCGCCGGGGTGGCGGACCCGGGGTGGGAGCCGGGGCCGGGGCTGGAACAGCGACGTCGCTTGGTAGACGGTGGTCGGGGTGGCTGTGGTGGTTGCGACGGCGACGATGACGATGATGCGGGTGACGAGGGGACCAGCCAGGCGTGGAAATGGTCCCAGAGGCCGGCGACGATTTCGGTCTGGAAGTAGGCCTCGGTCTCGCCGAGGAAGAAGATGGCGGCGCTGGCCGTGGTCCACGTGCCGCGCAGGAGCCAGGCGCGGTCGGACCAGCGCTCGCGAAGCGTCACGGCGTGGTCCGAGGCGCCCCGCGGACAAGGATAGTGGCGACGGAGTGACGTGATCTTCCACAGGTCCGTGAGGCGGATGTGCGCCCGGCGCAGGGACAGCAGATAGGCGTTGATGGACGAGTAGAGCTGCAGGTCCGACGGCGAGATGACCATGTCGAGGGGCGAGGGGAGGTCGATGCTCAGCATGGCCGGCACGCCAAACAACATGTTGCGGAAGGGCGACGCGGCCACCCGGCCGGCGGCGTCGACATCGAGGCCCCGGCCCGTGGTCAGCGCAGCAGGCGGTCTGGACCTGGTGAGATGGAGCTGGATCAAGCTCCGGGCCAGGTCGAGCTGGTCGTCTTCCTCGGCGTGTTGGCCCTGCATGGACACGAGCACCGCCCACGTCCTGTTGAGCACGGCAGCCACTTCGCCGTCCTTGACCGTGACGTTTTTGACCCCTCCCGGGCCATCCTTGTCGTAGGGCAGACTGTTGGAAGGACCATGTCCTCCTCCTGCTGCTGCTGCTGCCACCGCCGCGCTTCGCCATCGATTTCGAACCCGTTCGTCAGCCTCGTGCGCCAGGGCCATGGCAAACTCGCCCCGTCCGAGCAGGAAGAACTCGCGGAGCAAGTGCATCATCTCCGAGACCTTGGCCAAGGGCAGCATTCGCTGAAGCGTGTTTTCCGACAGGGACGTCCGGATGGCCTTGATTGCCTTGGAAAGATCGGCGCTTTCGAGCGGCAGGGACAGCGTCGACAGCTCCGACAGTTTGGCCGCAACGTGCGCGGCGACGCCGTTGCGTGTGGGTGTTGAGGCCGCGCGTGTGTGCATGGCGCGAACGTGGTTGAGCGACTTGCCGATGAAGAGCATGGACGACGCCGTTGCGCCCGTGACAAACGACGGCAGACACTCTGCCACGCAGACGTAGTCGTCGGGCGCACCCTGCATCACGGTTGTCTGCACAAAAAAGTCGTCGGCGCCAAAGCTCGGCAGTCTCCCGTACAGCACCCAGGCCGAAACCTGCTTCAGCCACGCCGTCTCCGCCGCCTGGACCAGACTCTCGGCCGTGGCCGCCACGTCCTGGTATCCGCTCTGCAGCTCGTCCCGCAAGCGATCGATGAGGGCCGCGCCGCGACACGCCCGGCCGTTCTCGTCCGTGGCCATGATGAACCTGACCGTGTCCCACAGCCATTCCAGCCGCCTCGTCCACTGCTGGAACTCGCCCATGACGGCCGTCAGGGGCACAATGTTGTAGGCGCCCACGAGGTGCGCGTCCCGGACCAAGACGCTCGCCTCCACGTCGAGCACCTTTCTCTGAAACGCGGCGAGGTGGACGGAGCCGACGGCGGTGGAGACGGCCCGGCAGATGGTGCTGGGATGCGACGTGGCCACCTCGGACGAGTAGGCGATGAGCTTGGTGTGAAGATCGCTTATGTGGCCAGCGGAAGAGAGCAGCTGCCGTTCGGGGGGTGTGATGCCGGCGAGGGCATCGGCCTCGGGCGAGCTCGGTGGACGCAGGAGAGGGGATGGGTGGCCGGACAGGGACAGGAGGATCTCGTGGAGCATCGTGTGTCGCGAGCCGCCCTCCTGCGCCTGACTGCGTCTTGTATGTCGTGGGAGATGAGAATGATGACGCCGAGCAGCTCGAACCGACACATGGAGCGGGCGGGTTGGGAGGCGCGGCGAGCACAGAGGGGGGACAAGGCTGGCGGTAGGAGACGACGTCGAGAAGCTTTTGGATTTGGAGTCGGGAGTGGCGCGCAGCGAGGAGTGACGAGGAGTGACGTGTAGTGACGTGGCGGACGTGGCGGTGCGTGGAGCGGGATCGCTCCGGCGACGCGACAGCCAGCACGCTCACACGTGATGCGTGCTGAGCGTGAACTTCCTATTTGCTTACGTAATTACATCAGTACATAGCAGTACTTTCATCCTTCTTTTAAGTACCCAGGTTCCATTTCTGTAAAGTACTCAAGTAGTCCTCTCCGTCCAGTCTGCCATCTTCGAAATATCTACAAACCATGACCATCTGCTATAAAGTACCTGCTGCCTCCCTACTTGTGCATCTATGCTGCATGCAACGCCTCCCGTCCGCGAGTCTCATCTAGAGCCGCCTTCTTTCTTATTTCCTTCGTGCCCGCGGGTTGTCGCCTTCCCACCGTCGCCAGAACCATCGTGGGCATTGTTCTCCTTGCCCATGCCTGCGTTCCTCGCGCCGCCGACGGCCGCGCCGCCGCCTTGCGCATGATTCTCTCCGCCGCCGCTGACAATGACCTTGCCGCCGCCCTTGACGTTTCCCACCACCATGCCCTTGGCCACGCTCTTCAAGACCGCGCGCCGGGAGACGCCCGTCACGTCAATGTAGACGAGGCCGACGTTCTTGACGCCGCCACCCAGATTGCGAGACACCTCTCCGGCTTCTGGACCCCATTTGTGTTCCACGACGTGGCTGACGCTGGACGAGGTGCTGGTGAGCAAGCTGCGCCCGGCTTGCTCCATGCCATCCACGACGGTGCTGAAGGCCATGAGGCTCTTGTTGAGCATTCCCGGCTTGTACGTGTCAATGACGTTGCCGTCCTTGTCGTAGCCACGCGCACTGCCATCTTTTCGCTTGGCTAGGTTGGCGCCCAGGTTCTGCGCAACCTTGACGATGGACCCGACTGTTGCAGCAGACAACCCGGCAGCCTTGGTCGAGAGTTGATTGATCTTGCGTATGTTCGCGTGAGTCGTAGGCGTGAATGTGACGGGCTTGGCCGCTGGCTGGCTGTTCTTGGCGTAGTTTTCGGCCTGGCTGCTGAGGGTCTGTGCGACATAATCGGACGTCGTGATGAGAAGACGGGACGCTCGCATTCCCATGTTGACAATGGTGGACTTTTTGTAGGCGGGATGCATCCTGTCTTGCCCGTCGTCGTCGTCGTCATCATGTTCGTTGTTGATACTGTATCCTGAAGCGGGCTGAACATTGATGGCCTGTGAGGCATTCGTAGGTAGCGCGATTTCGACGGGATCTATGCCGCGACTTGAATTAGTATGGACGTGGGTACGTCGGATAATTTGCCCCGAGAGGGATCCCCCCGGGCTTGAGGTTTGAGGTTTGAGGTTCGAGGTCGATGGGATGGTGGCACAAACCTTTGGATCCGGGTTTGATGGCCGCATCCTCCACGACGTGGTATCCGTCGCCAAGCTCGCCCACGACACTGCCGTCTTCCTCGTCCACCAAGACGATACGGCCTCCGCTGTGAGCTTCCTTGGAGGCTGAGCTCACGCTGCCTTGGACATAGCCCTCGCCTTGCGTGAAGGTAGCAGGGTCATAGGCTGGCGGCGCTTCACCCGCCGCATCTTTTGCCTTGGCAGAAGAAGACGCCGCACCTGGTGCCGCCTTGCTCCTCTTGGGCAGGGGCGGCGCGGCGCGTTCCAGAAAGGCAGTGCATTGCGCGAGAATGGTCTCAAAGGTATCAACGTCTTCCCGCACGCCGGCGCGGCTGCCTACGGCCGGGAACTCGATGCGTGTAAACGCGCCGCTGTCGGGACCGAGATCCCACCGGGGAATCAGGTAGCTCGTGGGGGGCTGATGGTAGATCTGCGTGGTGGCCGGGAGAGGCAGGTCGAGCTCGGGTGGCAGATGGAGATGCAGGTAGAAGTCTTCTGCGCCTGATGCAAAGCCGGACGCGTCAGAAAAGCCAGAAGACGTTGGAACCATCAACAACGACAGCGTCTGGGGGCCGAAAGGGTTCAGTGCTTGTTCGGTGCCCTGCGTGATGTGGTAGGCCTTGATGCCGTCGATGGCGTAGAGGAGCTTCGGATCCTGCAGGAGAGGGGTCTGGTTCAGCTCAGCAACAAAGGGGGAAGCGGAAGAGGCTTAGAGTCGCGCCTACATTGCTCTTGGAAGCCATGGTGGACGGTTCCGGACTCGAGAGTCGAGGCGATGACGAGCCGGTAAGACGGATTGGCAAGGTCCGCGATGAGCACGAGGTACGCGTGTCCGGTGCAGCCGAGATTGTACGGGAAAAAACGCCTGTTTGTCGTGGCGTGCGCTTATATTCGACGGCAATGAAGAATTCAGAAACTCATGAATCCTGGTCGCCGTTTTGCTGCAGCCGCGGCGTTTCAAACCAGAGTCCCAGACGCTCTCAGGAGTCGGGAGTCCGGAGTCGGGCAAAAACGCGGGGCAGCGGCTATGACGACGCGGCGAAGCAACGGAAAAGATGGCGACAAATTAGCGCCCAATGGGGACGGGAAAAGAACAATCCTTCATCCATCGGCCATCTGGCGCCCTCCATGACCACACGCCATCCCACACCGGCGGTCCTGTTCCTGGTGGCACCAGGGCGGAGGCATCATTCGTCTGCCAGAGCATCGCTGCTTGCAGCTCGCAGCTCGCAGCTTGCAGCTTGCAGTTTGCAGTTTGCAGTTTGCAGCTTGCTTGCAAATGGATAGTCACAAGCGCCTCATCAGCAGCTGCGTCGGATGACTTGTCCCTTCTTGCTTATGACCATTCATGATTTGAAATACAAGCCTGAAATTCAAAGATGGGCGAATGGTTTAGTGGTATAATACTCCCTTAGCATCTTCGAGCATTCTGCTTGACGCTTGGGAGTGGTCCGGGGTTCGATTCCCCGTTTGTCCAGCAAAAATCTCAATTTTTGAATCCTTGCTCAAAAGGTTACAAGTTTTGACCCTTCTCGATTTATTTTTTCACACCCGTATTGGTCTGCGTCGTCCGCTTCACTAAACGACGTTGCAAAATTCAGACCACGACCACTGTCCAGGCCTCCAGGACCCACCCCCCTCTTCCTCCTTGGCACAATTATTCCACCAGAGCAAAACCACACTCAAGCAGCCACATTTTTTCTACGACATATGTACATTGTGCTATGTACCTAGGTACTTAAGTATGAGAATAGCCCAGGCAGGTCATTGTGTGGCAGTATTGGGCTGATGTCCCTCCTCCCTCAGGTGTTTTCGTCGACACCGTGAGCTGTGAGCACTGAAAGTGGCAAGTGCGAACGAGCAATAGACGTCGATCCTTTGCAGAACGAGGAAAGAGCAGAGCAAGCACGTGCTGACGACAAGTGCTCGTTCTTGTGATGCACGGTCGTCTTCATGACGAAACCTCATCGGCGTCTCCTTCTTTGCCGCGTCTTGCCCAAGCAAAACGAGATTTTAACGTGTCTCCCGCCTTTTCGACGCCCCCTCGGTCGCCGGCCCAAAGGCAGAGGAATCCGATGCCCGGCTGCGCTTCGCACGCAGGCCATCCTGTTCGTGTCACCCACCATCCTCCAGCCTTTCTTTCCCTTGGTTGGACCTCGAGCGGTCCCCGGTCCTCGACTCCTGGCCCCTGTCCCTGGGACGGCACGAGCAGCCCACGGCGCAGGACGACAAAAACCTCTGGTGGCTTGCTTGACACCTAGCTAGCACAGCTTCATTTCTTGCTGCAGGAGAGCTGGCCCTTCGTCTCTCGTCGCTTTCCTCTGCCCTCTCAGACGTCGAGTCAGTCCGTCGCTTCGTTGGCCTTTATGCCACTAAGAAGTCACCCGCCCCGAGTTTGCAAACAGGCCATTGACACCCATTTGAACCTCCTGCATACGTGGTTTGCAGTGATTGAAAGCTCCGATCATGCATAGCCATCGTGTTTTGCGCGCGCAAGTCCCCGGACCGGTACAGAAATAGGCATGAGAACACTTGGTCTGTGACGATGCATTTCGACGCGCTACCCTGGTCAAGTCCCCGAAAAGTTTCAAAGGATAGGTAGTCCAGACCAGGGAGGAACAGAAAAAAAAAAGAAGAAGACCACTCTGGCTATTCGATGCCAGAGCGAACCCTGAAAGTGGCTGGCTGTCCCGGAGTTGACCGAGATGACACGCTGAACACTCTCCGTCTCCTGAGTCCCGAGCACCAGCCACGCGGCTGGTTGTGTTGCGAAAGATCACGCCTTGCCAGAGTGCTACACGTGGTGCAGGTCGTTCGACCAACGACAGTTGTGACCTAGTCGGATCTCGTCAGACTCGCTGCAGGGCCCTGAAGGCCAAAGTCTATAGAACCTGTTACATCCGGCGCCCATTTCCGCTAATTACCGGCTCTACAAGGTGGCGTCAATTTGCGATGACGAAGCGAAAGAGTGTGGGTGGTCAGACACACATTGCTAAACTGCCCGAGTTAGCCGTTAAAGCCGGGCGCCGTCACAACGCTTCGGTCACCAGAAAAACCGCGTCATATCAGTCGGGGAGAAAATGAAACCCAACATGGCCAAAGGCATCCCTTCTCGGAGTCGAGACTGGCATTTGGCATTCGCAGTACTCCGTCGGTTGACTGGTGACATTCGAGCTGCAAGTGGTGGTGGACTGATATTTTGAAATATTGGCCATTCAGTGCGTAGGCGTTCAAGCTCGGCTTTCGAATCGAACAGACATTCTCGCATAATATGCAATTCAAATTCGCCACGGTCGAGACGTTGGTGACGTTGTAATGATACACCAAGCATGGACTGGACTGGATTTGGACTCGCGAGTCGACACCGTATTGCGCCTGAAATAGGCTAGTTCGCGGCAGCGTTCGTCGCTGCTATATTGCGGAATAAGCTTTAAAAAGCGCACCCCGTTATCAACCTCAATGAATAGAGGAAGAAAATGGAAAGAAATAACGAAACAGAGATTGTTACTCGCGCTTGAGGGAAGTCTTCGTCATTGAGGCGAGCCGAAGCTGCAGTCCAACAGGAAATATGAATCAACAAATCGAATGCACCTTATCGCACGCCAGTGCCCCGGAAGCATCCTGCCCAGTGCCGAGGACGCCACTAATCACTGCCTGGAGACGCCTGCTGCTGCGCATAAAAAATTATACCCGATTTGCTTGCCAAAAGAAGAGTGAGTCATCGGCGGGACTATGCAGCGACGATGAACCTCTGATGAAACCGGGCACGTCTCTTTGTCACTGTAAGCCATGGCTTTGCAATCTGGTTCGGATCGGCTCCTGCAAGTCGGGCGGTGGTGTACATATATATGTATGCATGTACTTGGTGTGCGCGGCTGCTCGGCGAGCAAAATGGAAAGGCGAAACCTCGACACTGGCTGTCTGAGCACGTCAAATCTTAAACTCACCTCTTGTACTGGTCACTGCAGTCCAGTAAATCGAACGTTTGCAGTTGAGCTAGTGATGATGGCAGCCAGCCAGGAATTTCTCCTGCTTCAAATAGGATGGGAGTGGTCCAGAGAGCGGGCTGTGCTGTGTCGTGGGGGCGATGCTAAAAGACAGCCATGTGGCCCAGGGCAACGGGCATGATCGTCCGACTTTTTCATCGAAGGTGGGTGCTAGATGATTCGCATCATCAAAACTGATTTTTGTTGCATAGGCCTCACCGCTTCGCGACTTGATTTGCTCTGGAATATCTAGTGGTCTACCTCCATTTTGCATTTTCCACCTTGCACAACATTTGACATGACGGACTTGATCCGTTCGGGCTAAAAGGAATGCGCACTCATGGGCCTGTCCCATTGTTTCCAAAACAAGCTTTCGCTGTTCTCGCAATCGTGGGAGCAGCTTATACATCCGAGCGGGTCCGAAACAAAAGGCCGGGCGGCATGGCAAAGCCTGTAACGGCCCAGCTCTCGGGCCAAGAAATCCCGAGTCCCCGGCGTTGTCACTTCAATACTCTCTGTCCTGAACTCGTGTGAGCGCCATGCGAGCCTATGATGGGAACAGCGCTGTTGGAAGACGGAACGGGGTACCTTGAGGGACCGTGTGCGCCCACACAACCGCACCACCCTATTACGTAGCAGAGCGTCTGATATAGCAGATCGTCTGGTGTCACGATGGAGTGGCCGTGGGGGGGTCAAGCTCTGATGACAGATGGATTGCACAGCGTGAATCCCAGTTCGTCTCCTCCATCCCGTGTCTTCATGACATTGGCAGGGTCCAAGGGGCTACGAGAATCTTGTGGCTTCTTGGGGTCAGGAACAAAGACAAATATGCAGCATTGCCTTGCCATTCACCCCTCACGTTCAGTTGCGGTTGTATTGGCGGATGAAACTTCTCCACGCGCGCATTGGCGCAGAATCGTGCTTTCAGCAGAAGTGCCTTCCTCGATTGCTGGACAGATTCCTCTTTCAACAAGCGGGACCATGGCGACAATGGCCGACAAGGTGTAGGCTCCCAAGGGCGGAAACATGTTCAACTTGGGAGACAACCTATGAGAAAGCAAACCCACTGGCTTGGAAAAACAGGACAAAGTCGGGTTGCCCGATCCGTTGAGGGCCCCATCGTACCCTCGACTTTGTGCCAGCTTGACGGTATCGCCGCCGACGCCCAGGTTGTACCAACCCAGATGCATGTCGCAGAACGCGCAGAGAACAGCGCGAGCCGGGCTATCCTGTTCAGAGGTACATTTCGTCCAAGAGTCATTCAGAAAGCCCGGATGAAAATAGGCTCACCCTCACACATACTGTCTGCACTCGCCGTCAAGGCCGGGGGATTTGGCTGGCTGAGGCTGGCTGGCTGAGGCTGGAGCGGGACCCAAGCGACCGAAGCGACCGAAGCGACCCAAGCCAAGAACGAATAGCATCCGCGTCAACTGCATGAACAGACAAGTATTCGCCCCTTGGTGTGCTGTAGCTTGCAGCTTTGGTGTTGGCCTCGGGCCTATAGTCCTGTTCAGAAGGGGCATATGCGGAGGGGCATTGTTGTCGTTGCTCATCTCGTCAGCAAGCTACTGGCCTGGATACGATTTGTGGCCCCTGAAGGGCGGCACCGCCTGAATCGCTTCGAACGGACAAGCACAAGACCTTTTTCCTCTCTTTCTCTCTCTCTCTCTCTCTCTCTCTCTCTCTCTCTCTCTCTCTCTCTCTCTCTCTCTTTTTTTTTTTTTTTTTTTTTTTTTTTTTTTTTTT